ACAAATGCAGCATGCATCGACATTTTTCAGGTAGCTCAACTTGCCAAATTGACAGTAGTGTATTTGGTCACATTTTTCTTCTCATAACGTTTACAGTAATTAATAATTTTCTTCTGAAGTTCTTTCCTAATTTTGGGCAACCAAATTTTGCATTCGGACAAGTCAAAGTTTGAGATCACTTGCCCGAAGGGCAAGTGAATCTGAAAGTTAATGTCTATCCCTGGAATGTCGTTGTTATTGAATTATAAGATTATTCATGTAAGTTCAATTCATTTAACTGGTTAAGTTTTTTGAATAAGCATAGAAATTTAAAATGCAAACAATGCAACTGTGTCCAGTCCCCTTTAATTTCAAAACAGGGTCGCATAAGGTCAGTCAAACGTGATGTAAACAAATCGATCGATTCGTCAATACTAGATTGCGACTCCCACGAGGTTTTTGGAGGCTTGATACAACATCTTCAGAATTCTCAATAGAAGCTGACCGGGCTTGATAAAACATGTCCTGGTTCCAGACGAATTGCGAAGACAACTGATTTTCACTATATCACCATGCACAGTTAAATTACAAATTTTATTTCTTTTGATTTCAATCTAATATGAAGAGGCGCATGATTAGAATACATACTAAAATTTGCAACAACGAACTGATCATTTTGTGAAAATACATCATTGGTAGTTATGACAATCTACAACACTCATGCCCTTTGGTCTCCTTGGTCCAACAAATGTATAATTATCTTTGTCCATACCCAAGTTATGACGCCCATTTAAAATTCTTAGTCCTGTTCTTTTATATAAAGAAAATAGTCTGTTACCGAAATTATTGACGACCATATCAGGGTTCTTTCTACTTTGAATATGTGTATCTAAACCATAAAATAAAATTCACTTATATCTTTCAAACATCATCATGAAATATATCATGCACTATGAAATTCTGCGTTTGCTGTTCTTGCACTAGTGTCACCAATCAACATGACTTTCCCAAAATTCATATAATCAACAATTTGGTTTTCGAGATCATTAAATATATATCACAATCATGAGTTTGGTAGAAGGTTGACCTGCTTGGTGGTATATATACACAGGCTAAATACATATCTTCAGAGCTTTGTAATAAACATTTTTATCAAGCTTAAGCCACATTTTATAGTGTCATAGGTATTTTCAAGAAAAGATACATATTGCTTATATTTTTATGAATTAGAATAACGCAACCACTTCCTTATTTTGATTTTGACAAGTTTCGGGTAAAAACAAAGCTATAAATCCTTCAACGTGAATAGAAAACTCCTTTTTCAATCCAGCATTCCATTAGAAGGATGATGTCATTCGAGGGAATATAGCATCGAAAATTGTTATCACTAAATTTAGAAGAAAACCCTCCGTTTATGTTCCAGCTGGTAATTTTCAAAAAATCATTTTCAGATTGCCCCTGGGTCTACCTCCTCAATTTCCAACACCCTGCGTAAGTATCTCCACGGGCTCGTCATCTTCGTGTTCATCTCTGCCAGCCTCAGTGTCCCTCGTCTCTCCTTTGTACAGTTCACCATCGATGTAAAGTTTGTCGTATTTCATCACTGCTCGTCTATTTTTTCATAACGCCATCTGCAGAACGGGCATTGAGCCTCTCGACAATTTCTCTGGGGAATTGTTCCCGTACACTGTAGTTTGTATTTTTAAGTTTGTATGCAGATGTCCTGACACTTTCCCTGATCCTGAAGTTGGAGAATTTAACAACAATAGGTCTTGTTTTGTTGTTGAGATATCTTCTGATCCTGTGAGCACGCTCAATGTTCGCCTTCATTCCAAAGATATTCAGTTGCGCTTCACAGAATTCATTGATGAGGTTTGTACAGTTCTTCTTGCCATTTCCACGGTACCCTGCCAGTCCAAAAAAGAGCAAATTGTCCTCATACTTCTTACCTGCAGATCTGTAATTTTGCCTTGTAATTGTTCATTCACTAACTTAGAACATAACCCACTTATTCAGCCAATTCCTAATTTTTTGTCGCCTTTCTGAATACTTATTTTTTTTTTTTTTGCACACATTTCAGCACATACAGAAAAATACAATTGTCGTTATGTATATCAGAGACCCGCGTTGTCTCGATTTAAAGTTCTTTTTTCGTCAGGGGGGGGGGGGGACTAGGGTTAGTCCTCGCTCTCTCACAACTCGACGGATAAGGGTAAGTCCAAGTACACTTTTTTTCTGATTATGGGATAGCTTCGCACCCAACCGATAGATTTAGTGTTTGTACTCGCACACTATTCAACTGATTAGGGCTAGTCTCTCTCCCAACAATATAATTAGGTTAGTTGTTGCACATTTTTCGAGCGATTAGGGTTTGTCTCGCACTCATCCCAAAGATAAGGGTTAGCCTCCCGACCACTCAAGAAAATAGGGCTTGTAGTAGAATTAAATTTTGGTGTATTTCAGTGAACCTATCACGCGATCAAATATTTAATATTCCTTTTTATTTATCTATAAACCATCGGACCTTGGCGTGGCGCGGCATTGCAATTTGGGGCAAAAGTACTATGATGTCATAAACGTCGATTGGTTAATTTTCCGCACCATCGGACTTTGGCGTGTCAAACCATCGGGGTTTGGCGCAGACCATGGGACTTTGGCGTTACCATCGGACTTTGCATGGAGTCCCATCGCACTTTGGAGTCCTACAGAAAGAAGGGGCGGCCAATTCAGGCATAACACGATTATGACACAATCATTGAAGGAGTTTATTTTTGAATCATTGATTTGATTGGCTGGGGTTCTGTTCTAAGTCAGTAAGGTCATATTAAGCGAAATCTTCGTCATAAAGAATGAACTCCGCTCCGCCCATTCTTCATAACGAAGATTTCTCATAACATGGATCTTACTATTACTACAATTCCTTAATTTCCTTCACCGTTTCCTCAACATCGCATTTAAGGCACATCTGAGATTTCTTGATTTCCCCCATCGAGTTCCCCAAGTTACCGTTAAACTTCTCCAGATTACCGACTCTAGTCTGGATATTTTCAGTGCGATTGCATAAAAAAGTCAAATCTTCACTTATTTTGTCGATTTTCGAGAGTTTGGTGTCAAGGTCGTTGATTCGAATCATGAGTTGATCTACCCGTGCAGGCTGCAGTGTTCGAATAATAATTTATGAATGTGCCTCTCTCAACGTGCCCGCCATTAATTGACCACCCTTCCTGTTTTGGCTGACTTACTGCCCGGTTTAGGTGTGAAACCGTCTGAAGATAATCGTATCCTCCGACATATTGTGACACACTGCTATCCTAATGCCACCAAAACAAGATTTATCACGGTTAAGTGCACAAAAATCTTCTCTCAAAATTTCTGACCGACCATTTTCTAACGCATGCGCTGTATAATTAAAACATTTTTGTGACGTCCTTCTTTTTTTTCTACATTACTAATCATGGCTTTGCTGTTCTTGAGCAGAAGATTTTTTTTTCAAGAGGATTCCTATATATTCTTATGCAAACCTTTGACCCTCTGTTGTGCCTCCCCCATCCCCTGGGGGTCATAATTTGAACAAACTTGCTTGTACATTCCTAATGGCTTAGTTGTTCTTGAGAAGAGTTTAAAGATATTTCTTATGTATCGTGTATGATCAGACTCTTACAAGAGATATACAGGTTTTCCTTTTACTCTGTCTGAGATAATGACTGGAATGATTATTAAGACGGCTAAGGGTATACTACACAGTATATAATTTGTCTCTTATATATAGGGACGGGAACTGGGTAAGGTACTACTTGCATCGTGTTTCTCCATAAGAGCCCCATTGATTGTCTCAAACTTCTTCAGATTTCCTACACCCAGAACTTAACATCAATTCATTATAGGATAGTCCGATACTTGTCACTGGTGTTTATATTTTTTATACTTTTATTTTGCTCTTACCCTTAAGGTTTTCCATCCCTAATTGGACAAAATTCTCTTTCCTTAATTGTCCATCACTGTACACAATACACTGATATTAATATAAAGCATTTTACAGTAAAATAGGATTTACCAAGAGAAAGTTTCAAAAATGTAATTAACTGGGAAGTAATTAATTAACAAAGATTGTATTGAAATCTTGGGGACAAGCGACTTAAAAAAAAAAAATAAAAGTTCAAATAATATCAATAAATATTGTCGTGGAAAGATGCATTGAATTATAAGAAATAGAATGACAATTGAAAACGATTTTTTTACGAGATAAGTTTTTTTTTAAATTTATCTTTTTAATGAAATAAATAAAAAACAGGGATTTAACTCTTACCAAAATTCAAGGTCATAACTTAGGATACATCCCTACCTTACATGCTAATAGTAATGATTGGGAATTATGTCTAAATATACTGAGTATTCAACACCTACACATGTAATGTAATCAATTTCATTGAAACTGGATGGACTGAAATTACTAAACTTCTTTATTGCTGATGCAACATCCAACTTCTTATATACATGTAGCTTCTGAACGCCTGACTTTCCCGAAGCTTTGCCTTATATACCCTTTGGCTAATCCATTCCAAGGTTTGTCAGGTCATTCCACTATTTGAAGTTTTAATTGCATTTTCTACCCCTATGGCTATGATATGAACAAATTTGAATCTACAGTATATAATGATGCTCTCACAATCTTTCATATCTTCTTTTTTTAAGAAGAAAAAAATTACATTTTATAGGTCATTACAAAGTAATATTTTAAAACTAATTTTATCTGTATGCTTTGTATTAGATGGCTAATAGTACTACATGCCGTAATCAGGCATAAAATCTATCCTCCAAAATCAGAGGCCGCCTAGACCTGTTAATATAAAATAAAATAGAACTACAAAATATTATTTTGAACAATAAATTAAAGTATGGAATTTTAATCGGGATCGGGATTATTTGAAATATTTCACAATCTGTTTTTTTTTTTAAATTTTTTTTTTCAAGGGAAAACACCCATGAAATAATAGCATCGTTAATTTGTTGATAAGTGATTATCATTCAATTATGCATAAAATTTATTTGAACTCAACAGAATCAGAACATACTCCTTTTCAGGACATTAGGCCAATCCATTTGATCAACTGTTGATGACGTTGATACGGTTGGAAAACTGCAAAGTGAAAGTACTTTGTCTCTGAGTAGGCCTAAGTATCAATAAAAGTAAGTGTTTTACATCAGTAAATTATTTATTAGATACATACTAATTAGCAGTCTGACTGACAGTGACTGCCTTCGCAAATAACTTGTCCCACGTGTCCCAGTTGGTCTAACGTTACAGTTTGTAGTAGCAATGCCCAATAATTTTTAAGGAGTCAAATAATTGTCAGTTTTTTATGTTTATTGTGTAAAGTATGAGCCACTGATTCCATATAAGCAATCATTTCTCAAATCGGGTGAAAATTAAGTCTTTTATGAACGTTTAAAAAATGCAGAGTTCATACAGAGTTATCTATCTTTCCGAGGAAAATGATTAGAAAGTGTACATTGGCCAATAAAAAGCAGATTATACAGGAATGCAAGATCAAAATATTTTTTAGAATATAACCTAGGTACCAGTTAGTGAATTTTATCTTAAATTTCATAATACTCTTGTGCCATTGTTAAAACACAGAAGAATATATTGACACGAGATGTAAAATGCAAGAGTTGCCTTCCTTTGATTTCCTTATTAATGTACAGTGGCTTATGTGTCTTTATGCGTATGCCGTGGTGTCATTTCCAGTAATGAACTTATCAATAAAAGTTAAATTATGATTATAAATTATGTTTTTATTTGACTTTCACTGTTTTCTTCGTCAAAGTAAGTCAATCTTGAAATTTATTATTGTAAAGTTTGAGATGCACCCTATTTTCGCTTTCAGACACGAAATAGCTTTTGTACAAGTTTTAATTGATAAAATACTTCGGTTGTTTCAGGACACAGTTTAAAAACAAGAATATAAAATTGTTTCACCTTGACAATGTTCGGCATGAAGTAAACAGACCGTCAGTCACATTCAATTCAAATTGTTTACATTTTTTCTACACACGTGTTGGCTGCCATATTGGATATTAACGAGCAGTTTTTAGCTACAGTATGCCTTGGAAAATTCGAGTGGCGAACAAGAACGGTTGAATACTTGCCTGCATGTGATATGCATTTGTAGTGGAATACCCGAGGAAGCTATTAATGCATGTTTAGACAAATTACTCGTCCGTATATGAAAATTAGAGATATTTTAATTTTTCAATCTATTTTAAAACGTTCCAATCGCGCCATACTTCGAACATTCAGGGTTGGTAATTCTAGGGTGCATCTCAAACTTCTTAGAAACGTCATCAAAACGTTTGAAAACGCATGGGAAAGTAGTTTATGAAGCTGTACTTTTAAAGTACCATTAAAACCATTTCCAAAACAGCCGATTTTTTTTTATTGGTTGAGAAATAAAAAAAAATTAAATTTTAGGTGTTCATGTCTTTACATCTTGGAACAAAATGTGTTACTATCTTGAAAAAAAAATTAAAATGCAATTCTTTTTTAATGCAAAGTAACCTTAGCAAAAAATGAAAAAAAAAAAAAAGAATAATAAAAAAAAACTACGAAAATCAGACACCGACGACATGCCACACAGCCACGCTGAATATGACCCTCATGATGGCTTATTGTCACACGTCAGTATTTCCATTTCTATTTGTTTTCTCTGTGATATCTCTTTGAAAGCAAGTTGAGTTGATTTCTTGATCATTTCACCGGAATGCAAATTTCGCCAAGCGAAAGATCAGGAGCTAAGAAGGCCTAATATGCATGTAATTCTCGTGCGGCTATCTATGTGTCTAACATTAAGGAGGCCTAATATGCATGTAATTCTCGTGCGGCTGTCTTTGTGTTTGACATCAGTGGGCGGGGACTATTGAAATTGACATGTGAGGCCTCGTGTAATTTAAATCTATTAGTCTACATTTTTAAAATCTAAATTTACAATTTTATTTCACAATGAATTGGAAATATAAGGAATCACTGACTAGTTAGTAGAGAACGCCAGGGACATCAATGATAGTTGAAAATGTGGGATAATTCGCTTCGCCTGTTATGCAAATTATCCCACGTTTCCAACTATCGTTGATGCCTTGGCATACTCTACTAACTAGACAGTGATTCCTTAATTATCTGACCTAACAAAATTAAAACATACAACACAATTTAAACAAACTTTATTGCTTAAAAGCAAGATTTTCATGATTTTATGACCTTGCCACTTCACATTTATTTAAAATCCTTAACATCTGTCACATGTTAGGTCTATGGTTAACGTACACTAAAGGGCAAGTAACCTTGTAAGGCAAAAATAGTACATGTGATTGAACGACGTATACTTTCTCATTGAATACAAGGATTTAAAAATATTTCTTGATTAAATTCTCACAGAACATACTTTTTTATTGTATAAAAATCAGTTTTTATTGGTGTATTCATTCAATTTTTTCTCTTGAAGTGAATTTTTTTACAATTATTTTTTCCTGCTAAAATGATGTTATTTCTTTATTTTTATCAATATACACACTTTCAGTAATACTTCACACAGGTTTCTAAAAAAACTTTTGCGATAATATTGTACATGTCATCACCTTACTGTGTCAGTCCGTGATACACAACCACCCAGATCGTTTATTTTTCATGCCATTTTGACAACAGAAATTAAGCAAAATATTAGAGTTATTGCCTGTTACTCTTCTGTCACTACAGTTTGGGACTTCTTGCCCAATATTAAGTTGATTTTGTCTCTGATGTGCAAATCTCCTTCACTCGAAATCTTGTTGTTTATTAACTACGTCACTGAAAAGGGACGCTACTCTAAATTTAATCGCAGCAATACAAAATCTGTAGGGACATTTATTACCATCTTCCTGGGAAGCTGGTATACAGAGTTGAAGTATTTTACAGTCTTCGGACTATGCACTTCCTCTCTTTTGTGATTGGTAGAAATTACATGATGTGAAAATTTCCAGTTATTTCATTGGATCAAATGCTGTTCAAGGCAAGGGAGATAATTTTCTGGTGATCTTATTTTCGTACAACCTAACAATTTTTCAAGATTTTCAATCTTAAAAAAAAAAATTCCAAAAAGAACAGTTTAAAATGGCCATAAATAGATCTAAATAACACTTAATCTTTTTATAATAGCAATTACTATATTGGCTGCAACATTATTGTTGACAGACCAATCGTAGAATTGTTTGTGAAACGTGTGTGATCGTTCGTGTAACATGAGAGATCGTGCGTGTATTAGGCTCAATCATTTGCAGTTTTAATCGTGCGTGATCGTGTGGTAAGAAAGGTGCAAATTTCATTTTGTAAGTTTTTATCGCAGACCTGTTTACTCTTACGATTTCGCTGTATTTTGTACAGATTTTTAGTCGAAATTACGTCTCACGTTTTGCTACTATGAAAATACGGAAATTGGAAATCCGTTCGTTTGGATTTTAGTTAGTTCTCATTATGATCTGTCTCATTCATTCTCTATCCAGAGTTGTCTTCTGCTATGGTCACAACACCTCTGTCAATGCTCAGTGTACAAGATTCGTGTACAAATTTTAAACGCTGAACATTTGAAATTCAAATATTAATTAATTATAATAATTATCAATAAAGATGATAATTCATCATTTATTTAAAATCTATAATCCTTCAAAACGACTTATTTTCAAAGTTTTTAGGGAACTGTTTTGCAGAGTAAAAATTCTTAATTAAAAAATCCTTTTAAGGTGTAATGAATTAAAATAAATAATGTTTTCTGATAGGAAATAAAATTAAAAAACAATTAAAAATACAACCTTTATCCTTTTACAATTTTTTTCCAAGAATCTTGTGTAACGAGCATTGACAAGAGAGATTTCAAACACTTAAGTGATGTCAGATTGCCGATGCGCGGTGGTTTAAAAATGACAGAAACCCCTCGAAAGAAAGCAAGGTATAATGTTTGTCTTTGTTAGTAAACAATGTTTTGGTTATCAGAAATGTAGTTGTTCTCTAGTAATATGTGTAAAATCGAATGAAAGTGAAATCTTACTGGTAAATGTCAAATCTCAAGGACAAATCTAATGAAAAATACTGAGAGACAACAATGTGGGTAAACAGGTTTGTTATCGGAATGTAATTTGTTAAAGTAGCATTTTGACTTATATGTTTTTGTAGCATTTCACATGGAAATAAAATTAAAAAAAACTTATTTTATCTGGAAATTATTGAAACTACAAATTTCAGGACAGGTTTGATTGACACATCTATGCACTTTCACAAAGTAAACTTTATCCTTAATACTTAAGAAAAGTAGAAATTTTGTTGTGCATTAATGAAAAATATTAAACTATAATCCAGAAAATAAAGAGTAGAAATGTGAGAAAGCAAAACCAACTCACCAGTATTGTCAGTCCATGCTCAGTAATGTGTGCAGAGTTTAACAAACTGAACACACCCGTGAAACATAAACTGTTTTTGTAAACAGGGCACAAGCTCTATTATTGTTAATGTTTACGTTTCACCGGGTGTGTTCAATTTGTTAAACTCTGCACACATCACTGAACATGAACTTACAATACTGGTGAGTTGGTTTTGCTTTCGGACATTTTCTACTCTGAATTTTCTGGATTATAGTTTGAATATACTTCATTAATACACAACAAAAATTTTACTTTTCTTAAATATTAAGGATAAAGTTTGCTTTATGAAAGTGCTAGGATGTATCAATCAAATGCCTCCCAAAATTTGTAGTTTCAATAATTTCCAGATAAAATAAGATTTTTATTTTATTTCTGTTTGAAATGCTATAGCAACATAAAAGTCATGATATTATACCAAAAACTTCAGAAAATATTAACTTCAAATCTGTGTCCAAGCACCTTTAAACAAGTGGAGATAATAAGGAAAATAAAAAAAAAAAAATTACTGGTTGCTGAAAATTTTTCTCCTCAAGAACCACTGGGCAGATTATCACCAAACTTAAGCATGAGGATGAGGTTATATTGTAGGTCTCAAGGTCACTTCAAAATTGACCAAAAAATATGTTTTGTTAAAACTTTGATATTTTGCTTACTATAAGGACTAAGATCATAAAATCTTGTCAGTTGATGCATCTTAAGACCTCATATTATGTTGACTCAAAAGTAGATCACAATGACCTACTTTCTGAATTTTTCAGGCATTTATTTTCAAATTGATTAAGACACTTTAAGGCCCATGATCAATGATCATCAAACTTTATCAGTTGTTGCATCTTGGGTCCTCAGAGTACATTAACTGAAAAGTTGGTCACTGTGACCTACTTTTTGAATTTTATGGTTAATCTTTTTCAAAACATTTAAGGTCATTATTTCAGAAAGTGAGAGGTTTGGAATCATCAAACCTTGTAAGATGATGCATCTTGGGGCCTTAACTCTTTCAACACTGAGTAACTTTTATCAAACAAGCCCTGGTACACTGAGTAACTTGGGCCATCACTGAACATTTCACCTTCCATTACAAAAAATACAATAACTTCTTTATTTCTTTGAACATTTTAATAAATGACACATTATTAGAAAGGTGAGACAATTCTCTTTGAAATGATATCAAATTTATATATATTCAAAATTATTTAGCATGTCAAAAGCACTAATAAAAATCATAATTACGTTTTATAATTGATCTTATGTAATATTTTAATAAATTTGCTGCTATGAAGTTTCAAAATCGCTTATGTTCTTTACAACATTCAAAAGAGAAATTATTTCCGAGTAAAATGATATGCAATATGTCAGAATTTATTGAAAAATACGTCCATAATAATAAATAAATAAAACGTGGTGTTTCGAGACATCAGGAGAAGTCTGGAGCGTCGAAAGCTTTCTCTGTTTTGGAGCCTTCAAAGTCCGGTTCCGAGTCATTTCTCCAACTAGATTTCTCAAGATTGTGAAAAACTCGTATTTTTGTAGACTAGAGACATCTATAATGTCTAATTCCCTGATTTTATTCAAGTTTTCATCATCAGAAAGATCGGACATTTTGTTGTTAACCGCCATTTTGCTTTCTTCGTCGTTTTCTTTGAGATTCATCTAATTTTCTTTATTTTTCTGTGATTTTTGCCATGTGGTCTGCCATATTTATTAACGGATGTTTATATCCATCTACCCATAATTCATAGCGAAAGTTCTTGTGCAGAGAATACTTTCTATTTCTAAGAATAAACGTTTACTTTCATTTTTTTCTTTTTTACCTCATTGAAATATTTATTTGCATTATTAATTTAACTTTCAACATAAATACAGCTGTATTTATGTTGAAAGTTATATTAATAATGCAAATAAATATTTCAATGAGGTAAAAAAGACAAATTAATTTTAAACATTGACCAGTTGTTATATTTTTCAAATAATGAAATTTGGTAATTGTTTAAATTTAGCCAAAACAATGAAGAACAATATACATTTTTGTGTTCCTAGTCTATTGAAGAATGTATGTGGTTCCTGTGTTGTGTATTCTACTGCACTGTGTGTTATAGTTATTGCCAGTACAAGGGGTTGAAATGATAGAACTTGAAATAGACCAGTATGACAGTTATTTTTAAAGTCTACAAAAATTGGCATGCTCATGAGCAATGTTGAGACAGAAGTCATTATTTGCAGAGATCATTTTGAAATTGATTCCAATTGTGTACTGTGTCATTATATGTAAATGATAAGAAGCATCAGAATTCATGTTGATGGATCCCTACATCGAAAACAGTTTTCTTTAATGTTAAATATGTATATTTATCATTAGAGATGTAAAGAACAGATATAATTTAAACTTTTCTTGTAAATTGAAACTGTCAGAGAAACTCATATGTAAATTAAATTTATGAATATCACAATTATCCAACAAATAGCTTTTTGAAACATGGGAAATTCTAAATTGATGCAAACAGTTTTTTTTTCAGATTTGGAAATGGATAAATCTGCTTCCTTTGCTGACAAGGACAGTGATAGAGAACCTGAAGAAATGGACTCATTGTTGGACCAACTTTTAGATGCTCCCAGCCCCCCTTCTGAATCTCCAAAACAAGAGGTAAGGATTTCTTTTTTTAGCTCATCTGAGATGAAGGTGAGCTTTAAATTATATTCTATATTTGAAAAGTACCTGGTCTTTCTGTCCTTTTTGTGTGTCTATTGTTTGTAAACTGTTCATAAACTTAACTTCTTTTCTGAACATGCTAAAGACTTGTCCAATTTTAACCAAAATTACCTCAAAACATTCTTGTGTTAAAGAGATGCTCTTTTCTTCAAAAGAAAGATGTACCTCTTTCAAAGGGAGATAATTAAAAAAATATTGAAAATTAAGTGGGGCCATTTCAAAATATTCATTAGAAACATAGGGTCAGAATAGGCAAGACTTGTGTAAATGCTTTCTAGTATCATGAACATATTGTGTAGAATTCAATCTGTACAGTTCATAGCTAATGTAGGTAGAATGGGCTCTAATAGAGGGTTAATATTTTTTCTTATGCATTTTCTATATGAAAATGTAAAGGTATTTTTTTATAACCCCCCCCCCCCAGTTTCCAGTTTTGTCAGTTGAAGCAATCCAAATGCCTTTGGGTTGTAATTGTAAAGATAACTTCTTACTGGCAATTGTTAGAGCTATCATTTATATAGATAATATAAAATTTATTGCCAGGAGAAAGCTACAGACTGTCTTATAGTACAACTGAACTTACTCTCAACCACTTTTTAGCTCACCTGAGGTGAAAGCTCAAATGAGCTTTTCTGATCATATTTTGTCTGTAGTCCGTCTGTCTGTCTAGCTGTCTGTCTGTAAACTTTTCACACTTTCGACTTCTTCTCCAGAACCATTGGGATAATTCTAACCAACTTGCCACAAAGCATCGTTGGGTGAAGGGGGTTCAAGTTTGTTCAAATGAAGGGCCATACCTTCTTCCAAGGGGGAAATAATTATAAATTGGTGAAAATTTGGTGTCATCTTTTTAAAATCTTCTTCTCAAGAATCATTTGGCCAGAAAAGTTGAAACTTATGTGATACCTTCATTACATAGATTCAAGTTTGGAATCATCCTCAGGTAGTGTAGATTAAAGTTTGTTCAAATCATGACCCCTGGAGGTAGGGTGGGGCCATAGTGGGGGATAAAAGTTTTTCATAGAAATATATAGGAAAAATCTTTAAAACTCTTCTTTTCAAGAACAACAAAGTAACATTTGGTCATATTGATATGGAATCATCCTCAGGTAGTGTAGATTCAAGTTTGTTCAAATCATGATCATGCCCTGGGGTTAGGATGGGGCCACAATGGGGGATCAAATTTTTACATAGGAATATATAGGTAAACTCTTTAAAAATCTTCTTCTCAAGAACAACAAAGCCACAGTTAGTCATATTGAATGTAGAATCATCCTCAGGTAGTGTAGATTCAAGTTTTTTTTCAAATCATGACCCCTGGTGGTAGGGTGGGGCCACAATGGGGAATCAGAGTTTTACATAGGAATATAGAGGAAAAATCTTTTAAAATTTTTCAAGAACAGGAAAGCCATGATTAGTCATATTGATATGGAATCATCCTCAGGTAGTGTAGATTGAAGTTTGTTCAAATCATGACAGGCGATCAAAGCTTTACATATGAATATAGAGGAGAAGAAATCTGCTGACAAAGAACAGCAGGGCCAGGGGTGTGCAATTAAAAAATTCAAGTACTAGCCCACGGGCTAGTGGCAGCAATAAAGTTACTAGCCCCAAGTAAAAAGTCAATAGCCCAAATATAGAGGCAAAAATTAAAAACTAATATTGAAAAAAAGTTAATTGTTGAAAAAATCAGGGTACTAACTGAAGGTAATTCTTTTTAAAATTAAAGTTTAATTCTCATTAGTGAAATTTAATCATATATAAATTAATGATTATGATAGAAAATGAAAAAGAATTTAAATCTTCCCTTTTTCTGATCATTGCACTAGCTCATCTAAAACAAAGCAAAAATCATTTTGTTTTCGTCTTAACATACTTAAATCATTAAATGCACTGGAAATATATTTTGTTTTAATTGCATAACACTTATCTTTCAGTTGATTGAGTGATTGTAAATAATTCAATGAGATATCTGCATGTATTTACCATAAACAAAGAAATGGAGGAAATTCGGATTAGGAAAAAAATAATAGTTTTTTGAAGTAAATAAGTCAGGAAGTACTGCATAATGGATAAGATTATGGAGATTTATGGACAATAGGAGCATACAGCCTGGGAAATTTTCACTGGTTGGGAATTTAAGAGCAAAAAATGAGAGAAAATTACCGGTTGTGCTTTTCATGTATTACAATTGTAGTTTTAATTTCTACTAGCCCAAGGGGCTACCTCCGTGCAGAAAACCACTAGCCCGACCCCCGAAAATGGTAGCCCCGGGCGTCGGGCGATGCTAATTGCACACCCCTGAGGGCCATATTGACTCAGGTGAGCATTGTGGCCCATGTGCCTCTTGTTATAAATAATTTAAAAATAGTTGCTTTATAATAGTAAATACGCTTTATTTTACTATGTTGCACAAGGTATTGCGCAATGAAAACCCCAGTCGGCCCCTTAATTAATACGCATAAGGTTTTTTGATGGTCATTTTTGTTGAAGCCAGGTTCTCTACATAGACGAACAACAACAGGAGCAGGAAACCAGGCTAATCTGTTAATTAAGGAAGCTAAACTCGGCTTTGAATAAAATTTGATGGGATGGGACCCATGAGAAAAGATGGGTAATGATCTCCCTGTGATTTATGTGCAGTTTACAAGAAAACTGTATTTTTTTTGTTTTTTTTTTTGCATAAAAATGACGAAGAAAACTCTTATCATAAGATGAAATGAAAAACATATACCTACCATATAACGGGTATTTTTTGCTGGTGGAAATTTTTGTTATTTCACCTTTTAAATGTAGCAAATTAATTTCTGCATTTTTAATTTCTGCCGTTACAATTAACCACAAAAAAAATCATCTGCGGGATTGATGTCATGCCATGGACACATGTGTAGAGAAACAAACCAATTTGATAAAAAATGATGAAATATGATCATATTTATTTTCATCATTATTCAATATAGAATAATGAAATTTAGTCATTACTGAAAATCAAATTTATGACTAGAAATCATCATTTTTAAAAATGATGAATTTCAGTGTCACCCCTGACTGTTCATGTATTTTACTATAATTGACATGCTTACTGTGGTCAGGGAAAATCATAATTAAAAATTAGCTCTGCTACCAGGGCTAGACAAATAGCATTGCCCAATGCCTGAGACAACCAATTTTATGTGGCGAGAAGTTATTTGATAAGTTGTTCTTGCCCTTTGACAAGTGCTTTTCCAGTCAACAAAAGATCATACTCAAATGTTGTATGTTTTACTGCTGTTAAAATATACGCGGCTAGGATAAGGCTGTCCGAAGAATTTCAGTGTACCAGCCGCAGTAACTTCTCTGAACTACCTAGATATGATGTCATAATGGCTTATGATGTCAAATCACTGCAAATTTGAGCAGACATGACGGGGAAAGTGTTATAACTTTTACATTCCTTTCACATCACATGTAGAATTTTTTACCTTGATGTTTAATTCATGTGTCTGGATTGTTGTTTTAAGGCTGTTATGATGGTGAATATTTGCAGTATGATATCGTTATTCCTTTTTTCTTGTCTAACATGTACGTGTTCAAACAATTACAAAAAAGAATGTGAAACGCTCCCCCTTACGCGTCTGTAGACAGAGTGAGAATTTATAAATCGTGTATATATTAGACTGGCACAAGTGAATAATAAGGATTAATTGAAGATATTCTGTGTGAATCTACTAGAGAAATATGTCCTCTAACTGAATTTTGCTGGGGGATTGTATGTAATTTATCCCATTTTGTATGAATTGTGATGAAGAGTGGAAAATGACCCCTTGTATGTGGATAAGTTTAATTTCTCGTGAAATATTTTCTTAGGAAATAAATTTCAGACTTGCCCCCAGCACTTTATATATACCCAAGAATATGTTTAATTGATTTATGTAACAAGCCGTTCACAATAATTTTGTTTTCACTTGTGCCGATGCGATTTTTGTGCAACATTTAAGAAAATTTATAAGTGTCCGTCACGTGATAAACACATTCATGTGACATCACAGAAATGCTTTTATATACTACCTTATTCAACTTTCTTTACACCTTATCTGTGTATGTATACATACAAATTACATAGATTACAAATTGAAATCAAAACATAGCTCAAAATAAAATAGTATATATCTAATGCATATTAAGCCTTCGGACAGCCTTAACATAGCTGTGTAGTGAATCATAGTAGAGTTTCTGTTTTCGATGCAGTTGACCACTACATCAACTACTCGGTCGGAACTCTTCTAGATTTTAACCAATTGATGTGTTGTTAATATGCACAAGACATAAAACAAAGGTATTGATGTAATGTCAGAAAATGAATTTCAAACTAAAATTTCAATCCAATGTTTTCTCGTACATCCTTGTCGAATTGTACCTGCCCATTTCATTGTCTATCATTAAAAATTTTGACTGTAACAGAAGGAAATGACGTAAGTTGCATATTTCCAATTTTGCCAGTTAATTTTCTGTGGTCTTACCTATGTTTCTTCATTTTACAGGTATATTTAAAATAATGTAGACTTATGCATTTTGTTTTAGATGTTCTCAGTTGTAGAATGTACAGGAATTGTAACTTGAATACTTTAAGAAATAGAAACATCTGATTCATCTTTGGTAGACGGCTGTCACACATTAAAACTAGATTACCACAACCTTTAATTAAGATGATATTGCCAAATATTGCAAAACCCTGTTAGGCTCATAATAGGAAAATTATGCGGCTTAGAATCATATGCATCTTTTCAGGGCTCGAAATAATTGATGGCCCGCTGGTCTGGGGCCAGTGGATTTTCAATCTGGGCTAGCATTGCAGGAGGCATGTGTCCTTTGGGTCAGCATTTTTTTATGCATAATAAAAGTCTTTCACAGTAGGGCTAGTAAACTTCATATTGTTGTGTGTCCCAACTTCTACTGTTTCTTGTTAGGTCACCTGAGTCACTCAGGTGACCTATTGCTATCTGTTTTCGTCCGTCGTCGTCCGTCGTGCGTCGTCTTTCGTGCGTCGGTCGTAAACTTTTGAACATTTTCAGCTTCTTCTCTTGAACCACTGAACCAATTTCAACCAATTTTGGCATATAGCATCAATGGGTGAAGGGGTACAAAAATTGTGAATTTCATGGTCCCTGCCCCCCTGGGGCCTGAGGGATGGGGCTAAAACCATCAAAATTAGTGCTATCTTTAAAAATCTTCTTCTTTACTCCTGGACATCAAGCAGTCAAACTGTTGGCATGATTGTAATAAGCGTTTATCCCTCTACCGAAATTGTGAAATTCATGGCCCCAGGGTCAGGGGTTCTGGTGCTAGGGCGGGGCTATATAGATCATATAGTGAAAGTGCATTATTTCTTTGAAAGTCTTCTTCTCTACTCCTGGGTATTATTGAAACAAATTGAATACATAGTTATGATAAGCAAGAGTGACTCTACCAAAATTGTGAAATTCATAGCCCCAGGGTCAGGGGTTCTGGTGCTAGAGTGGGGCTATATAGATCATATAGTGAAAGTGCATTATTTCTTTGAAAATCTTCTTCTCTACTCCTGGGTATTATTTGAACAAATTAAATACATAGTTATGATAAGCAAGAGTGACTCTACCAAAATTGTGAAATTCATGGCCCCAGGGTCGGGGGTTCTGGTGCTAGGGCGGGGCTATATAGATCATATAGTGAAAGTGCATTATTTCTTTGAAAATCTTCTTCTCTACTCCTGGGTATTATTTAAACAAATTAAATACATAGTTATGATAAGCAAGAGTGACTCTACCAAAATTGTGAAATTCATGGCCCCAGGGTCAGGGGTTCTGGTGCTAGGGCGGGGCTATATAGATCATATAGTGAAAGTGCATTATTTTTTTTTGAAAATCTTCTTCTCTACTCCTGGGTATTATTTAAAAAAATTAAATACATAGTTATGATAAGCAAGAGTGACTCTACCAAAATTGTGAAATTCATGGCCCCAGGGTCAGGGGTTCTGGTGCTAGGGCGGGGCTATATAGATCATATAGTGAAAGTGCATAATTCTTTGAAAATCTTCTTCTCTACTCCTGGGTATTATTTAAACAAATTAAATACATAGTTATGATAAGCAAGAGTGACTCTACCAAAATTGTGAAATTCAAAGCCCCAGGGTCAGAGGTTTTGGTGCTAGGGCGGGGCTATATAGATCATATAGTGAAAGTGCATTATTTCTTTGAAAATCTTCTTCTCTACTCCTGGGTATTTTTAAACAAGTTAAATACATAGTTGTGATGAGCAAGGATGCCTCTTCCAAAATTGTGAATTTCATGGCTCCAGGGCCAAGGGTTCTGGTGAAAGGGGGGGGGGGGACTCTATTGATTATATAGTGAAAAAGCAAAATATCTTTGAAAATATTCTTTGCTGCTCCTGGTTAAAAAGCAAAGAAACTAAATGTATAGTTATGATGAGCAAGAGTGTTTCTTCCAGAGTAGTGAATTGCATGACCCCTGGGTCAGATGTGCTGGTGTAAGGGTGGGGCTCTTGATAATATAGTGAAAATGCATTAATTCTATTAAATAATTCTGTCTGCTCTTAGTGTTAAGCAGATAAACAAAGTGATAACTTATGATGAGCAAACTTCTGGTCCCAGGGTGAGAGGCTCTGGTGTTTCTCGCTTGGGGGGGGGGGGGGGGGGGAGGGGGGTCTATTGATAATATAGTGAATCTGTAGTAAAAATGCATTAGTTCTTTAAAAATCTTCTCTGCACCTGGGCATATCAGAGGCAAAAAGAGTAAAAGTTTTAAAAAGGAAGCGTATTTTTACCAGATTTTTGAACATCTGGACCATTTGGTCAAGTGTTCTGGTCCTGGCCAGGGCTCTATTCATTTGTATTCTACTGAAAGGAGTTATTCCCCTTTGCCATTTACTTTTGATAATTAATCACTGTAAATAATGTACTTGAAAGATTAATAGAATAAGAGAATTATGCAAGAATTTTTATTGTATAATACAAAAAGTACTTTCATAGTTTTAATGATCAGGTAGACTTGTAAGTAATAGATAAATAAAAATGAGACAAAAATAACTTGTCTTATTAAATGTTCATCAAAGACCAAGAGAGGCCAATTTAAGAGATTTCAACAAGGAATTAAAATAGTACAGAAGCACTGATTAGTTTGTTAATATACTGTATGGTGATAGTGATAAACGGGGAACAGATTAGAACCTAATTTACAAACTGTTAATGAATACTAGACTAATTATTTGTTGAACCTGATCACCCTATTTTTCTTGCTTTTGGGCAACAAAGCTTCACCTTTCAGTTCATTTTATATTCTATGCATCCTTTAAATTGTTGTATCATACTCAGGTGACCGTTAAGGCCCTTGGGCCTCTTGTTTTGTTAAGATGTACTAAGTATCTCTATATAAAAAAATATTACTATTATTATTATGGTTTTGGGCCAGTCTTTTTAAAATCTACTGGCCCAGTGGGACAGTGAAAGTACTAAGCTGACCAGTAAAAATTTAAGGCGATAGCCCGAGTGATTAGTAAACAAAAATAATTATTTCTAGCCCTGCTTTTGTAGAATACATACCACACCCTACCTTAAGGTCACTTTAAGGTGAACTTTAATTGAAGTAAATTAAAATGATGACAAATATGTCAGAGATTGGCATTAATGATTGTCTGATTGTCCGGGGCAAGTAAATTCTTAGTTCTGGCAAGTGAAACTGGCAACATACTTGTCCAATCAGCTAAGTGAATATTTCTGATAGAAACCTATATTGTTATGTAGCTTACATTAGTTTATAAATAAAACAATAAACTGAAATTATTTCCACTGGGGAACCTGATTGATATTTTTTTGTATTCAAAATCCTGGCTTAAGGAGTATTTCTAGAATATAGCTTATAACGTTCATTTAAAAATCAGGTTCCTTATTAAGAAATTAGATTATTTATTCAATAACACCATGTATCCTTATCAAAATATGTATGTTTCATAGCAACTGTCTTCTCTGAAAATTAAAATTCACAAAAATATTCTACCAGAAATAATTTTTAAAAGTAAGAGTTTTATTTTAAAGGGAATGAGGGGGAGGGGGGGGGGGGGGAGGGTATTGTGGCAGGGCGATGTGATTTTACAGGTTTACATTGACAAGGACATTGGTAAACATTTCTGTACAAATATATTTGATCATTTATTTCATTGCCTTTCTGAGCATAATTACACTTCCTTATCTTCATGTGCATGTAGGGTTTCATTTGTAGGCAAAATACATTAGAATATAAATTAGGCCATTCCAAGTTTTTTCTATGTTTAGCGTCCACGTGTGCCTTGGTTTTTGACATCCATAACAGAAAAAATGAACAAAATCAGGAGTCCTGAAATTATTTATTCTGGTAGAAATAACTGAATTCTGTCAATTTCTCTAAGTATTTGTCTACAATATGTCATATTTGGAATATTGTAAGCAATTTAATATCTTGATTTTGCTTAAGAAAAGTTATTTCTATGAGAAAAATTGATGAATGGAATCAAATCGTTTGAATGATGTCATTTTTATGACTATAAAGTCTTGTGTTTTACTTTTTGGTTTGTGTGTTTTTTGCAAATAGGTAAGTAGGTATTTGAAAGATAGTTGGACACTAAACATAGAAAAAAAATTTGGAATGTCCTTATCATACCAAATGTATTAATTAAAAATAAAAAATATTGCTTTTCAGACTGTGCCGACTAAAAATTTTATAAAAAAAATATTGCTTTTCAGACTGTGCCGACTAAAAATTTTATAAAAAAAATATTGCTTTTCAGACTGTGCCGACTACAGGGAACAGTACAGCATCAACAAGGTCAGCTTTTAGCATGTTTTGGCTTGTTCTGCAGTTGTTTACTGAATACCTGTACATTCCTCAACTGAGAATTATGATTTCCAACGTGTTCAAGGTAAAAGGTTTCATTTTGATTCTGATCTTATCATTCAAATGTGGTTTTTAGCTCACCTGAGCCAGTCGTTCAAGTGAGTTTTTCTGATCCAAATTTGTCCACTGTCATCAGAACTTATGTGTCAGTTTCAACCAAACTTGGCACTGAGTATCCATGGATGAATTTAAGTAATAAGCTTCTCTGGTCAGATACCAGAAGAGCCTATGCATTAGTAAGGTGTCCTTCATCCTTTTGTATGTACATCATCTGTGAACATAAATGCTACTCCCCATAGAATTTTTGTTTATTTTCAGAGTAACTTGGTACACAAGTAGACTACACTATGATACATAATTTTTTATATTGGTTTTTGATTTTTGATGAATGGTGTTGCCATGGTTTCTAAAAATAGAAATTTCTTTGAAAGTTTTGCAAAATGCTACTTGTCCTACAGTTTTATTTTGATTTCATTATAACATGGTACAAAAGTAGACTACACTAAGATACATATTCCTGTATATCAGTGATTTTGATGAATGGTGTTGCCATGGTTACTTAAAGAGGTCAAAGGACTTTAATAGTCACATGAATATAATACAACCCTTGGCAGAGGAGGTTTTCAATGAATTAATGAATTTTTACAATCTAATTAATAGAGCCTTACCCTAACAAAACCCTTGACCCAGGGGCCAGGAAATTCTAATATCAATAGAGGCACCCTTGCTTATCATAATTATGCACTTAGTTTATCTTCTAAATACCCAGGAGCAGAGAAGATCTTCAAAGAATTAATGTTTTTGCAGTATATAATCAATCGAGCCCTGCCTTAACATCAGAACCCTGACCAAGTGATCCAGGAATTTCTCAATTTTGGATGTGGCAGCATTGCTTATTATAACCGTGCACTTAGTTTGCATAATACCCTGGAACAGAAAAGAAAATTTTCAAAGAAATAATGATTTTCACTATCTAATGAATAGAGCCCCACCTTAACATCAGAGACACTATCCCTGGGGAACTAATTTCAGAAATATTGGAAGAGACCCACTTGCTTATCATGACCATGCAATGTATTTGTATGTGCAATGACTTTGTATGCTGAAAACCCAGGGGCAGAAAAGAAGATTCTTAAAGAAGTTATGCATTTTCAGTATATGATCAATAGAGCCCTGCCCTAAGACCAGAACCACTAAACCAGGGACTATAAAAATTCACAATTTTGGATGAGGCACCCTTGCTCATCATAACCATGGCCTTCTTTACCCCTGGGTAATGCATGATGCACTTAGTATGTTTGTGAAGTACCCAGGGGTAGAGAAGAAGATGTTCAAGTAAACAACACATTTTTACTATAAAATGAATAGAGCCCTGCTTTAACAACAGCACTCCTGACCACGGGACCATGAAATTCACCGTAAGGATGAATCACCCTTGCTCATCATAATCATGCATTCAGTTTTTTACCCCCGAAGTTTAGGGGGTAAATTGGAATCAGCAAGTCCTTCTGTTTGTCTGTCTGTAGATGAGATTTTGTCCAGACCATTTCTTGGAAACTGTTGCAAGGATTTGTCTGAAAATTTGTACATTTATTATTCGCCATACAAAGGTGTGCACCTGGTGTTTTCATCATGATTGGATAAACTTTTTTTGTATTTTACAGGTGGTTTTTTTTTCATTTTTATTATGTGGTTTTGTCCGGATCTGTTCCCAGAGACTATTGCATAGATTTGTATGAAAATTTGTACACTTATTATTTACCATATGAAGATGTGCACCTGGTATTGTTAACATTATTTGATCATTTTTCTGCATTTTACAGGTATTTTTTTTTTTATTTTTATTGACTTAGAAGACATTTTGGGTTCATGTCTACGGTTTGAGACATAGAATCTAGAACATCTGTACAAAAATGTAAACTACAGCTTAAAACTACTCATTAGAACTAAAAAATTCACAAAGTATTAAAAACATTTTTTACATTACAAAGCAGACAGTGTAAATCCATTTGTCCCTTGGGAGTAATGAGTGGACAAGCATCAAGTTAAAGATTGATTAATGAGTTCAGTGTGGGAAGCTGTTAGGGCATCTCTGATCAAGCAGGTCTTATCTATATCTCCTGGGAATTGGGCAGAAAGAAATAAAGATCTCTGTTGTCTAAGTTTTTTAATTATACCCCTGCAAACGAAGTTTGGGGGAGGGGGGTATATCGGAATCACCATGTCCGTCTGTCTGTCCATCTGTCTGTAGACAAGATTTTGTCCAGAGCGTTTTTCGGAATTTATTGCATAGATTTGTCTGAAAATTTGTACACTTATTATTCACCATATGAAGGTGTGCACCTGGTATTTTCATCATGATTGAATAATATTTTCTGCATTTTGCAGGTGTTTTTTTTTTTTTCATTTTTATTATGTGGTTTTGTCCTGACCTTTTCTCAAAGACTATTTTGATAAAATTGTATGAAAATTTGTACACTCATTATTTACCATATGAAGATGTGCACCTGGTATTTTCAACATTATTTGATAATTTTTCTACATTTTACAATTTTTTTTTTCATTTTTATTGACTTAGAAGACATTTTGGGTTTATATCTAAGGTTTGAGACACAGAAACTAGAATATCTGTACAAAAATGTGAACTACAGCTAAAAACTATTCATTAAAAAAAAAAATCAAGTATTAAAAACAATTTTTACATTACACTGCAGATAATGTAAATCCATTTGTCCCTTGGGATTAATGAGTGGACATCATCCAGTAAGAGATAAATTAATGAGTGTGGGAAGTTGTTAGGGCATCTCTGATCAAACATGTGTTATCTATATCTCCTGGGAATTTAAAGATCTCTGTTCTTTAACTCTCTTAATTGTAATTTATTGTCTGTCATAGTACATAGTTACTGGATGACCAGCCTTTCATTTTTTAAAATGAATTGGATATAAAGTTATCAAGATTAATTTGATTTTGTAATTAATTATTTTTTTTTCAACAATCAATTTGCAGAATGCCATGACTTAAAAAGATGACAGATAGTTGCAATTTATTTTTTCAATGTATTAAAAACAATGTAATTAAAATGTATTGGTATTGATGTTTTATTAGGTTGTTCCTTGATTTCATTCATTAAAAAAATATAATGAGCAATTAGTTTTTCACTCTAAAAGTTAATAAGAAAATTGTGAACACCTCTTAGATCCATAAAATATTAGTGATTTAGCACCTCTGAAAAACCCAGCGGGGGGTGGGGGGTGGGGGGGTATTTGTCCCTTTTGGACAGTTCTAGTTGTAATTTATGTCTGTCAAAATGCATAGTTACTGGAACCAGCCTTGTATTTTTAAAATGAGTTTGATATAAAGGTATTAAGATCAATTTGATTTTTGTATAATTAATTATGATATTTTTTTTTTCAACAATCAAATTGCAGAGTGTCATGTCTCACAAAGATGACAGATAGTTGCAAACTATTTTTTCAGTGTAATAAAAAACACTGTAATTATTAGTATTGATGTTTTATTAGACTGCACCTTTTTTTCTTCATTAAAAAAATATAATGAGTAATTAAATTTTCACTCTAAATGTTTAAGCAAATTGTGAACACCTCTCACATCTAGAAAACATTAGTGATTTGGTATCTTCTCTGAAAAACCCAGCGGGGGTATCTGTCCCTTTTGGACAGTTCTAGTTTGTTTAATACCCAGAAGCAGAGAAGACTAAAAAATTTCCCTATATTATGAATTAGAGCCCCACCCTTTGAACAAAACTATTGACCCAGGAGATATGAAATTCACAATTATGAAAGAGACTCACTTGCTCATTATATCTATGTACTTAGTTTGTCTGCTGAATGAACAGGGGGAGAGAAGAAGATTTTTCAATACTTTTTAAATTATTACTAAATCAACAACAGAGCCATGCCCTAACAACAGAACCCCTAACTCATTGGCCATTAATTTCACAATTTTGGAAAAAGTTGCAATGCTTATATCAATCATGCTAACAGTTTGAGTGCTTGATATTATTAAAGACTGCATAATATTTTATGGTTTTAGCCCCACTCCTTAGGCCCCAGGGGACAGGGAGGATGAAATTCACAAATTTTGTTCTCCTTCACCCATAGATGCTATTTGCCAAAATTGGTTTGAATTAGTTCAGAGGTTCCAGAGATTGATTGATTGTATCTTGTTTTCACGTCCCTTTCGAGAATTTTTCACTCATATAGAGACGTCACCGTATGCCGGTAAAGAGCTTCAAATTTAGACCTATTTCAGGAATTTGTGCCATTGAGCAGTGAAGGTTCTTTATCGTGCCATCTTCTACCGTGACAAGGGACCTCGATTTTTAAGGTCTCATCCAAAAGACCCGTGACTTTCACTTCTAGTGCCGGTGAAGGAACAGTCACTACCTATGTTTACGTCTTAGATTTGATGGGGTTCCAGAGAAGAATCTAAAAATGTTCAGATGTTTATTTACACATGATGTGTGATGCACATTGATCAGAGATCAACATTAAAGGTTGTCCGATTGCCCGAGACAATCATTCCCTGTGGTAAAAAGATGTGCTGTAAATAAATAATTTGTAATACATTTGATTTCCACTGGGGAACATGACTAATATTGTTTTTCATTTAGAATCCCTCGGTAGACAAAGACTCAAGCGAGCTTTTTCAATCAAAATTTGTCCGTTGTCTGTCGTCATTGGTGTGTCGTAAACTTTTTACGATTTCATCTTCTGCTTCAGAACCACCAGGCCAATTTTAACCAAACTTGGCAAAGAGAATCCTTGGGTAAAGGGAATCTAAATTTGTTCAGATGAAAGGCCAAACCGTCTTCCAAGGGAAGATAATTAAGAAAAAGTAAAAATTGGTTGGGGTTATTTAAAAATCTTCTCAAGAACAACAAAACCATTGATTAGTCATATTTATAATGAAGCATTTTCAAGAAGTGAAGATTCAGTTTTGTTCAAATCATGCCCTCCAGGGGTATTGAGGGGCATAAACGGCTGATCAAAGTTTTACATGGGAATACATAGGATAAATTGTATTTAAAAATCTTCTTCTCAAGAACAGCAAACCATGATGTCATATTTTTATGGAAGCATCCTCAGGTAGTGTAGACATATTTGTGCAAAACATGACCCCTGGATGTATGGTGGGGCCACAATGGGGAATCAAAGTTTTGGTTTACATAGGAATTTATGTTCGAAAAATCTTATTCTGAAGAACAGCAAAGCCATGATTAGAAATATTTATATGAAAGGGTCTTGAGGTAATGTTGATTAAAATTTTACATATCAGTTTACGCTTTATAATACGCGAAGTGGATTATAAAACAGCGTAAACTGACCCAAACCAGGTTATACTCGAATAATTTGGCCAAGAATTAGAGTCATTTCTTATAATTTAATTTAAAATCATTAAATAACTATGGTGTAAAATTTCATTGCTTTTTATTAGTTCAAATTTGCCACTCAATAATACAACCGTAGTAACGGAAGTAACGGAAGTGATGGGAAGCAAGGGGAGGTAAAAACTGATACATAGTCCTAGCAGCCATGTTTTTTGTTTACATGTGGTAAGATCCGAGTTACTGTTTGAAGTTAAAGGTACATTTATTAAATCTGGAATTTTCCATGAATCCCGAGGACTGGAAATAAGAGGATTGCATGGATACAGACGATTCAGCTGGTTGTCAGGGGGTGTGTCCCCATACCAAACCAGGTTATACAGAAATAATTTGTGTTCCTTTTTGGATATTAACCAATCAGAGGCTAGAATACGAACAAAATTAAATTATTCCAAAATATTTCATGAATAACAAACTGATTCTGAATTAACATTTTTCATTCAATCTTTTTAAAATGCTATTTTGTTAAAACTGACGAATGTAGATGAATTATTCATAAATGTTTGATAATTAATACATGTACGTTTGACAATTTATTTAAAACAACATTCGAACGTGTCTTTCGATTTCAATTCTAAAGTGTAAACGAGAACTAGTAATGGTAACCACAGCAAAAGTGGCACTGTCAGTTCTTTTAACATGCCGCCTGCTTAATCACGCTGATCATTAAGTTTCCTTTTACCTTCAACATAACGTCGTCAACATGCATACTTTAATTGATTTTCATCATAGCTGGAAAACTATCATTTATAAGTAGCCTACTAAATTGAAATAAACAAAACTTTCATAAAATTGACATTTCGGCAACCATGTTGGCAAGTCTTTTACACTTCGGAAACAGTAGATAAACGAAAGTTGATTGGATGATATTTATGACTTTCAATTAACTAGTCAATAAAATAGCTGATTCATTTGCTCATTTATTATTTTTAGTACACTTGCAATTGACGGTAGGTGGGAAATTTAAAAAAAAATTAAGAACAAGGACTTGTATTATTAATTTGCTTTAGCCAAAACTGCTGCAGGCACTCCAGTGAACCATTTTATTAAGAAATACTGGCCTAGAAAGTGAAATGAGACTCAGGAGCATGCATGATGTGTCCTCGTACGATTACGACACTTTAATATAGTGTCAAAGATTTACAAAGTTTTATATTTTCCAGAGGCTTAAAGGCAAGGAAAATGAATCAACAGAAAACAAAATCAATCTCCTTCTTGCAAATGACAAATCATTTAGAATGAAATATAAAGTGGATCTCAGACTTGGAAGTGGAGCTTATGGCATTGTATATAAAGTAACTCCTAAACTTTGTGACAAGGAACTAAAAGGAACTTTGGCACTAAAAATTTTGTGTGAAGACTCAATGCGGGATCCACAAACCACATTAAATGAAACAAAAAATAATATCCGACTTTGTCAAAATAGTTCATGCCCAAATGTAGTTTCGTTTTTCAGCTTTAACGAGTACACTTATCAGTCATATCGGTATCTTTGTCTTGAAATGGAACTATGTGACGGAGGAACATTGAAAAAATCAGAGTTTCATGAACCTAAATATGTCACAGATACATTTAGAAAGAAGATTTTGGAAGAAGCAATATCTGGTATGATATTTATTCATGACTGTGGTGTGGCGCACTGGGACATACATGGAGATAACATATTCTTCAAAAGCCCGATGGATGAGACCGTAAAATTTGGTGATTTTGGTTTAACAAGAGAAAGTCCAAGCACACAACATTTAGATGTCCAAGCTCTTGGAAGAACTTTATTAAAATGGGTTTTCCTACGGGAATCTAATTTATCAGGAGAAGAAAGTAAAATTTCAATAGAATTTTTATTATGTAAAATTAAAGTCCAAAAGGATATAAGGGAGATACTGGAAGGCTTGACATTCAACACTATGTCACTGTCAGAGGCAAAGAGAAAAATGATAGAAATACAAGGTATACTTTCTCTTATAGTTCTCATGTCTCGGTTAAAAAATTTGAAAGTTGGTCTTAACCTCTTTTAATGCATTCTTTTCTCATCTAGACAATCTTATGCAAATTAGACTCCTACCAAATTCACATGAATTGCAAGAATGCTTTACTATAAAAAGAACAAGATGTGTTTGTGAAACACTGATGCCCCCGTATGGCAGTTTATGGCGAAGGTTAAAGTTTCTCAAATGCAAGTCAAATTCCAGGCCAAAAGATCCTTGCGACATCACCTTCCTTTAGTTACTAACCACTTTGACCCTTTGACCTTGACATAGGAGTTTGACCTACTTTTGAAAAACTTTAACCTTGGCCATAACTTTTGAGTGGTTGCTGCTAGGGCTTTCATACTTCACATATGTAATCCTTGTGACCAGACCTTCCTTTGGATACCAACCACTTTGACCCTTTGACCTTGACATAGGAGTTTGACCTACTTTCGAAAAACTTTAACCTTGGCTATAACTTTTGAATGGTTTGTGCTAGGGCTTTCTTTTTTCACATATGTAATCCTTGTGACAAGACCTTCCTTTGGATACCAACAACCTTGACCTTGACGTTTTACTTACTTTTAAAAAAACTTTAACCTTCGCCATAACTTTTGAACCGTTGCAGCTAGGGCTTTCAAATTTCACAGGTATATTTCTCGAGACAAGACCTTTCTGTGGGTACCAACATTTTTTATCTTTTGGCCTAGATTTTGACTTGCATTTGGGAAACTTTAACCTTCGCCATAAACTGCCATACGGGGGCATCAGTGTTTCACAAACGTCATCTTCGCCTTGTAGAATAATTTTTGTCCAGGGAATATTTCCATAACAAACCTTTTGTTGTCATGATTTCATAGTCTTCAATAATTATATCTTTGCTCTAAATAATTTGTTCAAATTTTTGGATTCTTATACAACTGAAACTATAGGCATTTTATATGCCTTGTTCACCCATTGTCTTTATGTCCCAATGCTTGTTAGCTCACCTCAACGAAGTCGAGCGTAGGCGTCCCAGGTTAAAGTTTTTGGGGCAGATTTCTTTTCAAGTACTTCTATGCCCTAAATTAAGCAAAGTTTCTTGGAGGATGCTTCTAGTGTGTTTCATTGTACCAGTCAAGTTCAGATGCTGTAATTTCAATTAAAGAATGAACAGATTAATGTTTTAGAGCAGGATAAGGTTTTTGGAGCAGGTTAAAATTTTTGGAGCAGGTTAATTCCAAAGTAACTATAAGCCCTATATTGACCAGACTTGCATGGATGATACACTTAAGGGTGCACTGAACCAGGCTTGCTTCAGATGCTGAATCGTTCCGTCTTCAATATTTTTTAAAATTATAGTTTGTTTTGTACTTCAATATTTTTTAAGGAAATTTATATTTGGTTCGGCATTAATGTTTTTTTAAAACACTTTTTGTCGCTTATAAACCGGTATATTGATAATATTTTCAATGATACTTCGCACGAACCTTTGTCCAACAGGTTGCATACACCCCGTGCACAACTTTGATTTTTCGTCAATATCTTTAAATACTAACCGTTTTATTTACAGACAATTTATACATACATTTACATAGGTAACATGTATTTAACAGGAATATGAAAGTGATGATAAAGAGAAGCTTTGTTCTGATATTTGATCATAAACACAATATAGCGTCAATCTTGCTGCGATCCTTGGAATTGTGTAGAGGTGTTTGATAAAGCTAGAAAATGTAAGTGGATTCATAGGTATCCATATACTACTTAGATAATGCTTTCTTTTGTAGGCTATGCTTTCTGGCGAAATAAGTCTATAAATTGGGAAATTAAGCAAAAGACATACCTTGACCCCTTTCTATTTCTTTGAAAGCATACACCCCGCGCACAACATAGAATACAACCCATATGTTTGGATATACACGGTGGATAGACACTACTAGATTATTAATTTAGCGTGTAACTTTACCTGACTTAAAAACAACATTCGTTGAGGTGAACTCTGTAATCTCTGATAACCTATGTTTGATTAAACAGGTTATAAAATAATATTTACATTTCCAAATATTTTCGTTAAGATTCTTTGCAAATTAGAAAAAAAGTTCTGTGTTCTCATGAACTACGGTGGGATGAGTAAGAATATTTCTATTGTGATGTGACTGAAGTAAAAAGCATAGTGCAAACTTTTTGTTCAAAAATGATGGTTGAATGACAAAGATATGTGGCAAGCCATCAGAAAAACAATGTAAATATAAATATGAGAATTCATGAGGTACATGAACTACAACGCTTCACGCCTGCATATTTATCATGAAGCGCTAACGCGCTTTACGAAATATGTGGGCGTGAAGCGTCGTAGTTCATGTCCTCATGAATTCACAAAATCAAATTCATCTCTTAATTAATTTCTTTATTTGAAGGGTTCTTTAGATAAATGGAATATACACATTTTTGTGAACTACAGGTGATGAATAAGGTTCTCCATTAAATTTGTACTATTATGATGTCAGAATCACATTAATTTTCTCTTTATTGTTACAGAGTGAATATGTTACTTTAAAAGACTATCTTTAAATGAAATGGTAGTAATTTAATATCTTTGAGCAGTTATGCAAGTAAAAACCAACTTTATATCATAACAAATGTTTTGCCATTCTTTACTGTTGAAGAAAATTATCATATTGAATTCAGTGTTGAAGTTATACATGTATATTGTACAATATGCACAGTAGATTTATGTTTGACCAGCTGTTGTCATTACAGAGAAAGATTCTTCAGATGGTAAAGAAGAGCTTGTATCAATTAATTGTGCTTCAGACAAAGGTAAATATCAATTCATAAAATATTTCTTATCTTAAAATATTTTTTAAGTATTAAACAAAACCTTTTTTTCATTCAAATATTTAGGTTCTAGCACAAGTAACAACATCACAGCAAATTCAGCAGTGAGAAAGATGAGGACTGTTGAAGAAATGCTAAAAATCGACCCATTTTATCCAAAAAAGTGCAACGGTGAATTCTTGCAGCCCCAAGATTTAGTACATTTCATTATTGTTTATCCTAAATGCAACTATACTGAAGTTGAAAAATTCACATCATGGTTTAAATGCCTTATAGAAAAAGATGCAAGTATTACTTTTGAAATGAGACTTTACGATGATGAAGAGTTTCCTTCTGATAGGGTGCCACTAGCTAAAGAAATTTATGAGAGGGCTATGTATGTCTTATTCTATCTAACGAAAGATTTTCATGAAGAGATGTATCCGTCTTTTGTAAGCAGTGAAGGAATAGGACAAACCAAGTTTCAACAAAGTACACAGATTCCTGAAAGACATGTCTATTCACGTCTTGCACAGAAGCAAAAAATAGACTGCAGACGACCAATTCACACTATGCCCATAGAAACACGAAATTATGAAACTCCAAGTGGACTGACAACAATTAAATCAATTGATTACTTTGATACAAATAAGAATAAAGGTTATTTAGAAAAAACATTGAGAAATTTGGGTAGAAGTGCTAACATGAAACTTGAAGAAAGGAAGAAAGCAATGCTAAAATGTCTGTTTGAAGAAAGTGATGACGTGCATAACGAGAAGAATGATGCTGGTTCGTCGGCTTCTGTTACACAGTCTTATTTACAAGTATGTTAAAACTTTTTTATGATGAATTTTTAATTTACATTTATAAATGATATTGATAGGATCAATTAAAATATTGACAGGCTCGAAAAATTTTCTTTTCAGTGGTGAACAAAATAATGCATTGACTTCAATTGCCTTATAGACCTGATAGATGAATTAGCTTTTGATGCGAAACTTCTGCATTGGAATATGTTGCTTGATTATAAGGAATTTAAGAGGCATTAATTAATATTGTTATACAGTCAGGGGTGAGACTGAAATCCGTCATTTTTGAAAAATGATGGATAATCGTCATATTTACTAAGTACGTATTTTCGTCATTTTTGTCAATATGACTTACTATCGTTATATTTTCTTTTTCAACTTAATTCTTCTATCCTGGTTACATAAAAGCAAAATTTGAATTCACCGCTGAAAGAAGAGTGTTTACGCAAGTTTCATTTCATCCGGGTTACTAATTACTGCCGACCACGTGCGTTAGAACATCAACATGGAAGGTGAAAGTTATTATTTAGCGGTAAAATGTCGAATTTTGGTAGAACTAATTCGCCATTTTTACATGGCTTTTAGCCCTATAAAAACATATAGTACACCGTCTGGAAGAATACGTACTTGTAGAGAAAAGTCTCGACAAAAAGTTAAAGCCATAAAAAAGTAGTGCGCCCCGTAAAACAAGCGAGATATTTCAGTGCGCCCAGACCCTCCATTTTGAAAAAAGACGGAATATCGTCATTTTCGTCTTCTTTCCTATTTAATGCAAATAAATTGACAAATAACTCTTCCACTCTTATTTTTGCTTGGGAAATTTATACTGTCAACATAACCAGTATTGTAGTCAACTGTATTAGAGAAATGAAGTTCGTTTACGATGTTTTTTGTCCTTTTTTCACTTGGTGGATCTAACATTTTTCAAAGAGAGGTAACTCGGTATTCTAGAAACACTCTAAATTTTTATGACTGTTTTTCGTCATTTTCTTAAAAATGACGAGTTTAAGTCATAATAAAAATTTTATTTTATGGCTTAAAATCGTCATTTTAAAAATGACGGATTTCAGTCTCACCCCTGACTGTTATACCTTTAAAAATTGTTTCCTTTGTAAATCTATACTATAAAAGTCTAACATTTCCAATATTTTACTGAGCGGTCCAAAAAAAATTGATGTATGACTGCAGAGTGAGATATTGGACCTGTCAATGAGATATTGGACACCGTACGTCAACCTATGGGCAGGATCAGTTTAATCTTGTTTGCATTTGTTGGTGTTAGATAGTTGCAGAATTTACCGAATTTACCCGCAGTGTTGTAAAGGAAATTGACATCACAGAAGCCAGCATAAGATGTGTACATGTTTGTCAAAAAAAAATAAACAAATGAAAGATATAAGAAAACATTTATTGACTGTACTGTCGGGCAGAATGCGTTTTGTCTACCTCTCAAACCAAATTGTGTGCATTCAGCCTTATGACCTCAGGCAACAATTTTTGTTTTTACGTCCGACAAAATGCATGTTGCCTTTGAACCCTGTTAATAGAAGTTTAATATGCGTATATTTTACAAATTCCCTCAGTTTTTAGCTCCGCTGGTGAGAGACCAGTAGACCAATTTACAAGTGCTACCTTTCTCTTCTTTTGTTATAAGTCAGTTGAGCTTGTTAGAGACTTCTAGTTTACATTCAGAAATAACATTATTTTCAAACAGATGCCTGCTGCCTCCAAGAGTTCTGATCATATAGAAAAATCTCAAACCGGAAATTGTAGAAAGTCAGAAAGAAATGAACATGGTGAGAATTCTAATACAGTCCAAATTTCTTTTTTCTCTTTTTAATTTACAGAAATTCTAAAGAGTTATCTGTCAGTAATTGTAAATTCTTAAATCCGTTTAAATCTGTGAACAATATCTGAAAAAAAGTCAGATGTTGGGAAATTTTCATTTTACATAATTTCTTTTTCATTTATTTATTTAAAGATATACACGCTATATAAAGGCGATTTTTTATGTGAAACAAAATGATTAAATGATTTGAGAAACATGATGTGTAATAAAAAATAATGACTTTTCACAAAGTTTTACTAAATAAGTCGTAATTACAAAACAATTAAGGAAGATCTGCAATTAAGAATTCAGCCTATTCATGAATATTGATGAAGGAAATGCGTAAACAGTATATAGACACGCATGTCCGCGGGAAATCATAGACAACGAGGTACGTTGCATTTTGACTACTATTTTGAATAAAAGTTAATATCTGTCATTACAGAGTAGATGGTTAATAATGGTTGTTTTCAAAGATAAGTATCTTTAAACATAAAACATATGCCATCCATGTCAAAAGCTTTTTTGCATACCAAACAGCCTACCTCGTTTTCTTGACGCCATTTTTGTTTATCAATCTAAAAGTAGCGACGTGTCACATGATGCATAAATTTAAATATAGCATTACTTTCCTAGAAGGATAATAAATAATTATAATTTGAGATCTTTATAATGCGTTCATTTCCAATTGTGTAATTTACAGTATTTTCGTAACTTTATTTGGTAAACAAAATAAATAAATTTCCAACTTTATTTTTAACTGACGCAAGTTATAGTATATCTTTAATCATGTTAAAATCTGGAAAATCTTTTTAGCACACCTGAGATGAAAGCTCAAGTGAGTTTTTCAGGTCAAATTTTGTGTCATCTATCTGTAAACTTTTCACACTTTCGACTTCTTCTCCAGAACCACAGGACCAATTTCAACCAATCATACCACAAAGAATTCTTTGGTAAAGTAGATTCATGTTTGCCACAATGAAGGGCCACACATTCTTTCAAGGGGAGGTAATTAAGAATTAGTGAAAATTTGATGGCATCTTTTAAAAATCTGGTGAAGAATGATTAGGCAAAAAAGTTTAAACTTACATAAAACTTTAATTATGTAGTTTAGATTCAAATTTATTGAAATCATGGCCCTCGGGGTAGTGTGGGGTCATAATGGAGGATCAAAGTTTTACCAAAAAATATATAGGAAGAATTCTTTAAAAATCTTTTTAAGAACAGCAAAGCAATGATTAGTCATATTGATATGGAAACATCCTCAAGTATTGTAGATTCAGGTTTGTTTAAATCATGACCCCCTTAGGGTAGAAATATATGGTAAAAAATCTGCAGATGAAGAAGGCCAGGGTAATATTTGACCAGGTGAGCGTTGTCACCCTTGGGTCTCTTGTTCTAATTACTGATAATTGTTATCAATTTCTTACTGCATTTTTTATTGTATTATCACTTTCCAGATATTTTGAAAAGAATAATATCCCTTTTCAAAACTGAAACTGCATCTTGCCAAAGACCTTTGAACATTGCCAAGAAGTGCATTGATGATCAAGCAAGCGCTAAAGATGTAAAGCCGTATCTTTATTTTCTTCAAAACTCAGGATTTCTTGAAGTTGTGTACTTGACAGAAAGGAACACAGATCCACATTTTAAACCAATGAGAGCCCTTGATAAAATTACAGGTCTGTGTACATATCACATTAAAATGGACGATATTTAAATTTATTTAAATTTACATTTAAGAAAACTTTATTTTTTAGCTCTTCTGAGCCAACGGCTCAAAAAGCTAATGCTATGGCCATTTGTGTGTTGTGCTTAAACTTTTTAGAATATGGGCCATAACTCAAGAACCCCTTGGCCAATTTTTGTCAAATTTGTCACATAGTATCCTTGGCAATAGGGCTCTCTTTTATACTAAAATTAGGTATGTGACCTTTAAACAAGGGTAGATAATTAGGAAAATTAAAAAAAAGAAACTCTTCTCAACAACCACTGGGCAGATTATCATCAAATTTACATACAAGGTTGAAGATATGTTGTAGATTAAAAATTGTTCAAGGCATTACCCGGGGGCAAAGGGCGTGGTCTAAAGGTCGCTTAAAAGTTGACGAAAATTTACTTTTTTTCTTAATCTATGTTATTGTGCCCACTATAAGGCCTAGAATCATCAGTTGGTGCATCTTCGGACATCATATCGTTTTCTCAAATGTAGGTCACAGTGACTTTTTGAATTTTGCAGGTTTTCATTTTCATTTTAATTTTGATGCATAACTTGGATACTTTGAAGCCTATGATCATCAAAATTTGTCAGTTTATGCATCATAAGACCTCTAAGTGTGTCAACCAAAAAGTAGGTCATCATGACCTACTCTTCATTTTCTAAACATTAAAGGTACTTATTTCAGATACTAAGAGGTATAGAATCATTAAACCTCGTAAGTTGATGCATCTAAGGGCCTTAAAACAGATTTTTAATAAATTAGGTCATAGTGTCCTTCTTTTGGAATTTTACAGATATTCATTTTCAAATTGTTTAAGAGGCATATTTTGGAAACTTTAAAGCATAGGATCATCAAACTTTGTCAGTTAATGCATCTTGAGTCCTCAGAATGTTTCAACTAAAAAGTAGGTCACCTTGACCTACTTTTGCAATTTCATGGCTTCAGGAGGTTGGATCCTGCCATCAAAAGTAATGACAATTTTTTATCAAGTATATTTTTAGAATTTATACACATGGCTTATTTAAAAATCAAAACCAAAAAACAAAATGGGAGTCAATGAGCTTCTTTTGGCGCTACAGAGCATTTAGTTTAACCTTTTTGCACTGTAAAAACATAAATCAATTTTTGAAGTTTTTCCTCCAATATTTTTTATTCAAATAAATTATGGGAACAAACACAGTCTTATTTCATTTTGAATAAACACATTAAAATTTTTGACAACGAAAAAGATTTTTAAATTACTCCGCCTGTTCAATCATTTGACCTTTTGCACTCAAAAAATTCATTTTTAGCTCACCTCGACGAAGTCGAGATGAGCTTATGCTATACCCCCCGCGTAAGCGTTAGCGTCGGCGCCCCGGTTAAAGTTTTAGGAGCAAGTCCATTCCCAAGTTACTATAAGCCCTACGTGAACCAAACTTGCATGCATGATGCATCTAGGGATTGGCACTACCACACTTGCTTCGGATGCTGGATCTGACCTAGATTTTCCAGTTGAGTGACTTGGTTAAAGTTTTTGGAGCAAGTCAATTCCCAAGTAATTTTAAGCCCTACCTGGACCAAACTTGCATGGATGATTCATCTATGGATGGACACTATCACACTTGCTTTGGGTGCTGGATCTGACCTAGATTTTCCAGATGAGTGACCAGGTTAAAGTTTTTGGAGCAGGTCCATACCCAAGTAATTATAAGCCCTAACTGGACCAAACTTGCATGAAGGATGCATCTAAGGATGGACACTACCACACTTGCTTCGGATGCTGGATCTGACTAGATTTTCCAGATGAGTGACGAGGTTAAAGTTTTTGGTGCAGGTCCATTCCCAAGTAACTATAAGCTCTACCTTGAACAAACTTGGATGGATGATGCATCTATGGATGGACACTAACACACTTGCTTCGGATGCTGGATTCGACCAAGATTTTCCACATGAGTGAATTTTAGCCATATTTTAACCAAATTAGCATGGATGATGTAGCTAGAGATTGTCACTTCCAGACTTGCTTGGGATTCCGAATCTGACCTACATTTTCCAGATGAGTGACCAGGATAATTTTTTTGGAGTAGCTATATAACATTATGGCCTGTTATGATTAAACTTGTATAGATGGTGCATCTAAGGATGAAAACTTCCAGACTTACTTTGGATGTTGGAACTGACCAAAATGTTCTTGATTAGTAAACAGGATAAACGTTTTTTGAACAATTCTATTTCCAAGTAACTATAAGTCGTACTTAAACCAAACTTGCGTGGACATTGATCTTGGGATGTACACTAAATAAAAAAAAATATGTGAAATTTGCCTTACTTAAAGATAACATTCGTCGAGGTGAGTTTCGTAATCTTTGATTACATATGTTTCTGGCATTAAAAAATTTAACAAGCAAAAAAATCATTTGAAAGTAATGACATTTTACTGAGTTTAAGAAGAATGGTTAAAAGTATCTTATATATTCAGAAAAGAAAATTAAAAGTGGGGTCTGTGATGTTAATTTTTAGATATTACCAAAATAGTGCCAATTTTAAGTTAAATTAGGGCTATTTTTTCCTTGATTTTCACAATATATTTGCTATATTTGTCCAATATGAAGATAGAATTCACGACAGTTATTCACTAGTAATATTTAATTTAGGATCAGTCTATAACAGTTCACTGCACAAAATAACTCTTTGTGCAGACTGCATATAAAAATAGGAATCCAAACTTAACATATTTTAAATACTTATAAAGAGAAAAAATGATCATTTTCTTCTTTAAAAACCTTCCGTCACAAAATATAGTTCATCACTTAACATTTGATATAGAATTTAATCATAGAGTTTTAACTGAATATAGTTGAATTGGCATTGTAGAATCCAAATTTATCGTAAGAATTAAAAGACTATGCAGAATTTTTGAAATATAGATTAAGATAAAAATCTGCTCAAAAGCTCAGGAGTGCACTTGGTTAATTTGAATTTTTCAGATACTAATTGGCTTTGAATTATCAGACTTTGTCAATTGATGCATCTTGGGTACCCGGAGTATGTCAACCAAAAAGTAGGTTACCATGATCTACTTTTGGAATTTGGTGGCTTTTTCAGTAACTAAATGGCTTAGAAACACCAAACCTTGTCAGTTGATGCATCTTGGGTCCTCGAGTGTGTCAACTAAAAGGTAGGTCACCGTGACCTACTTTTGGAATAAGATTTTTTTTTTTCAATTTCTAATTGCTTAGAAACATCAAAATGTAGCGTCTAAAGTCTTCGAAGTTAATCAACAAAATGTTGGTCACTGTGACCTACTTTTGCAATTTCATGGCTTAATTTGATTATATCAGATACTAAATGGCTTTGAACCATCAAACTTTGTCAGTTATTGCATTTTGGGTGTTCAGAGTGTGTCAACTAAAAAGTAGGTCACGATCTAATTTTGGAATTTGATGGCCTTTTCAGTTCCTATTGTCTTAGAATCATCAAACTTTGTCAGTTCATGCATCTTGAGTCTTCGGAGTGTATCAACCAAAATATATGTCACTTTGACCTACTTTTGTTATTTATTGGCTTAATTTCAATATTTCATACACAAATTGGCTTGGAATTATCTAACTTTGTCAGTTGATGCATCTTGGATACCAGGAGTGTGTCAACCAAAGAGTAGGTCACATTGATCTACTTTAGGAATTTGATTGCTATTTCAGTTACTTATTGGCTTAGAATCATCAAATTTTGTCAGTTGATGCATCTTTAGTCCTTGGATTGTATCAACCAAAAAGTAGGCAACTGTGACCTACTTTTGCAACTTCATGGTTAAATTTAAATATTTCAGAAGTTTACATGATGATATCCACATTTGGCTTTATTGATTGAATTTTATACAATTTTTCTTTCCCTTGGGATAAGTATTTCTTGCACTTTAATATTTTCATACTATTGTGAATTCATGTAATTGTGTTGCATCTTTTTGTTTCTTATTAGAGATCCATAGAAATCATGAAAAATATAAAATTATAAATGACAAAATTGTTTGCTGGTTAGATTATCCTACAGAACATTAAATTAACAAGTAATATTGCATAAGCAATACAAGTCCCCTACCATTAAGTGTAATCTGGTTCCCCTTGAAAATTGAAAAAGCCATAATTCCATTAAAAATCATCAAAGCGGAACAAAAAGCAAACTTGAACTGTAACTCATCAAGATACACTCACATACCAAAAATCGGCTCTATCAGAAATTGTTTACAAGAACAAGTTCGGAAAACTAATTAGTGGGACAGACTGTCAAATGAAAGAGGGACAGACAGACAGATGGACAGACAGACAGATGGACAGACAGACAAACAATGAATAGACCAGGAGGAAACATATAGTCCCCTCCGCTTTCACTGGTAGGAAACTAGTAATTTGGAAAGTTTGGAGCAATCAGCTTTTTTACAGCAATATTTTATCTTATTTTCATCAATAGACGAAAGAATAGCGGAGCTGGCATCTGCATTTTCAGGTACTTTAAAAGCAGAAGACATGCAAAGAAGTGCAGGTACTTAATATGTTTTTAATTCCAAACATTTTGCTTATTTGTAATGTTTTAATTTTTGTACAAAATATGTAACAAGAAAAAATGCAGTTGTGTTTTATTTATTGAATCTTTGGCATAAAACATTATACAAAAATATCACATATTGTTATCTAAAAATGATTTTAGTCCCTTTTGTTCTTTCCCTTGGTTAACTTACTCAACGTAATGTCAAGCCAACAATGCATGTATTTCCACACTGAAAATAGTGCATCAAAAAGTATAGTGCATCATAGAATTTATACAAAACTTCTTCAACTAAGTCTAAAGTGAGCTTTTCTGATTCGTTTTTCTGTCCATTTACTTTTAAGCTTAATTCGGCTGTATTTTTTTTTTCTTTTGCTGATTACCCATAGTCTGACAGTAGTCTTTCTAGCTGTTTGTCCATCTGTTAACACATTTTC